CTATTTTGAAAAAAATCGCTGGTAGGTGGGTCACGGGGGGCATTGCCAAGGGCCACCAGGAGCTTTCTGTGTGGCAGTGGGAAGGACAATACCAGCAGGTCGCAGTGTGGGCCAAGAAGGTGCTTGCAGGAAGCAGTCACCCAGCTGAGTTTCCGATTGTCCTCCACAGTTTCGTCCTTGCCTCCAAGTACTCCCTCGCGCGCGGCCTTGGGAACAACAGAACCCAATTTCTCGAAACCACCGCTGAAGAAGCAAGGATCTCAGCTGATGCGCACATGTCTAGGGAGCAGTGGGCGCAATGCAGGACCTTACTGCGCTTCGGGGGCAGGGATAAGAAACCAATGGCTTTCCCCTACATGCTTGATGATAGTGGCGAGGCCATCCCCGCTGCCTCGGGAGTTGCCCAGCACATGCAAAAATATTTCGGAGGCATCGAGAAGGGCGAATCTCTCACAGCAGAGGAGATAGTTGCTCGCTTCAACTGCAGTGGGGAATCCTCCAGTCCAGTCAGTCACCTCCCCCCGCCATTCTGTGTGCCTGCCCCCTTTGTTGCTGACGACGACGCGCTGCCGCCGACGCTGCTGCCGCACGACGACGGAAGGACCGGAGGCGTCCCAGTCTCGAGCGATGAGGAGAAGGGCTCTGGTCGGGATGACTGGCTGCGCACGCGTGGTTGCGCGATTCCCACCACCACATTTTTTCCCCGGGGCTCGCCAGCTTCAGTGAGTGGGACTGGGCCGCCTCCCCTACCTGCAGGTGACTTGGAGGCAACTCGTCCATCTCGCTCTTCCCATTGTGTGCCTACTCATCTCGACATTCGCTTCCTCATGCGCCGTGCGTCACTCAACGCTGCTGCAGGGCCAGATGGGCTGCGGGATGCCCTCAGTAAGGTGGCACCAGAGGAGACGACTCGCATTTTTCTTCCCCTGCTATGTAAAGTTGCACTCACAGGAAGAGAACCCTTAGGGTTCAAAGACGGCAGGGTGGCGTGGTTCTACAAAGGGGCCAAGGCAGTTTTTCTCGCCAAGAACCAGAGAAACATTTTAAAAGCGAACACGCGAGGCAAGCTTTATCATCGGTTCATCTGTGCGCGGGCTCTCGGCCTCTTCTCCTTCTGGAACAACAAGGCGGCCTCCCTGGTCGCTCGTGTGAGACATCCTCGCACATGGTGCGTTTGCATTGGTCGGCTGCTGAGATTGTCAAGGCGAGCAGTTCGGCGATCTTCCTCGATTTGTCCAATGCTTTCTATTCGGTCACTCGGCAGTTCGCTCTCTCGCTTCCCAAGGATCAGGACGACATAGCGCATGTGCTGCAGGAGTGCGAGCTTCCAGAAATCTTGGGAAATGCGGTTCTGCTCCAACTGGAGCACGAGGTTCCTGTTTTCGATGAGTTTCTCGAGCCCTCTCACTTGCTTGAGCTTCTCCAGGAGAGTCAGACTGGGGCCTTCTGGAAAACGGAGGGAAGCCCTGACTACATTCGGCCGCGGACTGGCTCACGACCAGGCACCATTCCCGCCGCGGATGTTTTCAATCCTGTCTTTAAGAGAGTTCACACCTTTGTCGATCAGTCTACGATGCAGGAGGATTTGTTTTGGGCCCCCCCCCGTCGCCCCCTCGGCTCGCCTCTCTCGAAGACAACGCGCGGATCAGGCCCGCCTCCTCCTTCGTCGACGACATGCATATCGTCAATGCCGCCCACAGATCCGATAGGACTATACCGGTCACTCAGAGGACCCTAGACATACTTTACTAGGCGGTCTGCAGAGTAGGCATGGGGCTAAATCCTGATGAAACCGTTGTCATGTTCAGGTTTCGGCACAAAGGGTCTCGTGCTCAGACTCTCTTGCTGCGCGCCGAAGACGAGCCAGCCAACGCCTCTCCCAAGTCGGGTATACGGGTGCGGGTCGTGTCCACCCATAAAGTTTTAGGGGTTAGAATCTCCCAGGACGGCTCCATGGCGCCCGAACTGACCGCCAGGATCGTTGCGGCGCGACAAGCCTTGAGGCCTGTCAAGGCCACCATAAGCCCTCGCGTTGCTCTCTCGGTTCGGGCCAAAACTATTTTGTCCGAGGCGCTCGCTTCCACCGTCCTGTTTTTTTCCCTCGGCTACCTGGGGCCATCTCACCGCCAACCAGCAGGGAAAGCTGCGTGCTGCGCACCAGGAGATTTATCGAGCTGCGCTCAACCTTCCCAAGGCGAACAATGCGGAGATGCATGATTCGTATCTCAGTGTTCTCATGAAAGTGCAACGCTTACCGTGGTCGGCCGTCCTGACTATCTCTAGGCTCAAATACCTGGTGCGCATAGCTAATCCTATGTCTTGCCCCCCCTCGTTCGAGTGTTGATCGACGCTACGTGGGGGGCCCCCAACACCTGGTCCGCCCTGTTGGCCTCTGACATCGATTGGCTCCACGAACACACGGGCCCCGCCCACAGACCGGAGGGGGACCACAGGGAAGGGTGGTTAGACAGGTTGCGTAACAGGAGGTCCGATTTCAAATCGGCGGTTGGAGCTGCGTCGAAGCGTGCAGCACAACTTTGGCAAGACAGGTGCAAGCTTGACTCGTGGCAGAGGCAAATCAAGGCGTGTGCTGTGGGCACGGCGCTTGCTACCCCCCTCCCCCCTCGCTGGCCCTCTTTCTTTGCTACGAGTGTGGTTTCACCTCCTCGTCTCTCAGGCAGCTGCGGAGTCACAAAGCCAAAGTGCACAACAACGGAGGGGTGTCACCTGAACTGCAGGTGGTGGGATCAGTTTGCCAGTGGTGCATGACCGATTTTTCGAGACAATCCCAGACTTGTGAAGCATTGCATAGGAAGGGCAAGTGCTGGCAGGGGCCCTGTGAGTGGAATCACCCCCCCTCTCACGAAGAAGTCGCCCAGCAGGTCGACGAACGCAGGCGCATTCAGCAGGCTAATCGCAAGAAGGGGCTCCGAGATAATTACGCGGCGCTCCCCGCGCGAAAGGTTTTCGGCCCCGCCTTGCCGCAGCCTGCCATGGGGCCTCCTGCCCCCGTTCAGGTGCCCGAGGTGCCTGGTGATGCCCTCCCCACCGCCTCTCTTATCGCGACCACCCCTCCCCCGCCTGCTCAACGCGTGGGGTGCGTTCTCCATCTCTTCCCGGGCCATCGGAGAGAGGGGGGTTTTCAAATGCAGTTTGAGAAGCTTCTTGAGCGGTACCCGATGCGAGTATACGTTTTGCGCATTGACGTGGCCCACAATGCTGTTCAGGAAGACCTCACGTGTCAGGATACTGTGTGCACTTGGATGTACCTTCTGGTCCAGGGGCACGTCGTTGGCATCTTGGGGGGGGGGGGGCCCTTGTGAAACCTGGAGTGCCGCGCGGCATCTAGCGGTCGATGGCACGCGCCATCCACCGCGCCCCCTCAGAGCGCCCGAACAGCTGTGGGGGCTCCCTTTCCTCTCCCCCGTGGATATTGCCAGGTCCAGCTTGGAAACGATCTGCTCCGCACTATGGTGCTCTTCATGTATCAGGCGTGGAGACATGGAGTGCCTTGCATCATGGAACATCCTGCTCCCCGCCCCGTTGACCCCACCATCCCCTCGAGCTGGTACTTGCCCGAGCTCGTCGCTCTCGCCCGCGCAGAAGGGGTCCACACGGTGGACACTGATCAGTGCCATTTGACAGCCCCTCCCTCAAACCCACTCGCCTTCTCGCGGTTCATTGCTCTGCTCTCCGTGGGCTGGTGGACTGCAAGCCGAGGAGGGGAAGGTGTGGGGGGTGCGCCCACGTCCGCCTCCAGGGACTAGGTGACAGGCGTCAATGGACGACAGCCCAGGCCAAGGTTTACCCTGAGCCTCTTTGTTGCTTGCTCGCCTCCGCCTTGCTCTCTGCCATCCATCTGGCCTTCCCATCCTGTCACGGGTCGTGTGTTGATTGGGGGCTCCATGAGTGGGCTGCGGATTTCTGCATTCCGCTCGACCGCTACATGGATCATGCCATGGCCAATGACTGCATGGCTCACAGGGATGCTGGATAACGGGGGCTGTGCGCCCCCCCCCCTCGTGGGGCGCGGAGGGTGTGCTCGGGTCGTGGTCCGCCTCTTCCCTCCCCTCTGCACGTGCATGTGTTTCACCTTTTCCGTCTTTGCTCTTCTCTGCTCCATCCCTGTACGGGCTACGAACGCTACGCCTTACGACCGACCGACCGACCGACCGAGGGGAAGGAGGGGAGGAGGAGGGTGAGGAGGGGAAGAAGGAGGAGGAGGAGGAGGAGGAGGAGGAGGAGGAGGGGAAGAAGGAGGGGGGGAGGGGGAAGGAGGAGGAGGAGGAGGAGGAGGAGGGGGAGGAGGAGGAGGAGGAGGAGGAGGAGGAAGAGGAGAAGGAGGAGGAGGAAGAGGAGGAGGAGGAGGAGGAGGAGGGGAAGGAGGGGAAGGAGGAGGGGGAGGGGGACGGGGATGATGATGATGATGATGATGAGGAGGAGGAGGAAGAGGAGAAGGAGGAGGAGGAAAAAGAGAAGGAGGATGAGGAGGAGGACCTAACCTCCCCTGGGTGATAGCTCGTGGGGAGGCCACGACCCGAGCGTCGCCAGATGACCTTGGCGAGTCAGCCTCGGATGCCGACGATTTCGGCTGACGTCATGGACTGCCAGGCTCCAGGCCCGTCCCCACCAGCCCCTTGGGACCCCTGCGGAATCCCTGTGGGACTCCTCGGGACCCCGCAGGAACCGCCCACGAACCTCGACCCTCCTCGATCGATCGACCCGCAATTAGATTTCCCACGGGCCTCGATCCTCCCGGACCGACCTGTTCTCCCCGACCCTCCTCGCTCGATCGATCAATCAATTCGTCCTCCATACTCTTCGATCGACCTGCTCTCCATGATCCTCATCTATGCTCGTCGATCCATCGATCGATGCTCTTCGATCGATCGGTGATCCTCGATCTAATTGACTCGATTATCCTGCTTCGCTCGATTGACTGATCGGCCTATCGACGACGAAGGAAAGCGGCGGCGGCGAAGGCGTCGGTGCCGCGAGGCCTGCCGTGTGGTGGAGGCGGGTGCCGTGCCGCGCGAGTTCGCAGCTGGTGGTCATGTCCTCGACCGCTGCCCCGCCCCCCCCGCCCCGGCCTCCCCCCGACCCCTGGCCTCCTTCTCCTCCTCCTCCTTCCCCTCCTCCTCCTCCTCCTCCTCCTCCTCCTCCTCCTCCTCCCGTCTCCTCCTCTCCCCAGCCTCATCCGCCTCCTCCTTCCTTTCCTCCTCCTGCAACTCTTCCTCCTCCTCCTCCTCCTCCTCCTCCTCCTCCTCCTCTTACCCCCGCCCCCTCCTCTTCCTCTTCCTCCTCCCCCTCTCATCTCCCCTCTGCCACGCCCTCCCTCCTCCCCCTTCCACACCCCCCTTCCCCCTCCTCCTCCGCCTCCTCCTCCTCCTCCATTCCTTGTCCTTCCAAATGAATCGTCCCTGTCGCACTCCGAGGCCAATTTGTAGGGCGGGCCGGGCGTTTCGCCAGAGATTTCCCGAGCACTCGCGACCCTGAAGCTTGTAAGTTGGGAGCAGTTTTATCGAGGGAGGGCGGGTCGTTTTCAAAAGGTGGTTCTCGCCTTATTGCCGCGCACATTCGCTGAACAAGAATTGCAAGATCTTCACGGATTGAGGGCGGTTCCTTTTCAACATCTGGCTCTCGCCTGAGCGCCGCGCACATTCGTTCTACAATATTCGCAAGAGCTTCACAGATGGAGGGCGGGTCGTTTTCAAAATGTGGCTCTCGTCTTAGCGCCGCGCATATTCGTTAAACACATTGCAAAAGTTTCACGGGTTGAGGGCGGGTGGTGTTCAAAAGTTGGCTCTCGCCTTAGCGCCGCGCGCAGTCGTTGAACAAACAATGCAAGAGCTTCACGGATTGATGGCACCTCCATTTCAAAATGTAGATCTCGCCTTGGCGCCGCGCACACTCGTTTCAACAGTTGCAAGAGCTTCACAGATGGAGGGCGGATCGTTCTCATACTGTGGCTCTCGCCTTAGCGCCGCGCACATTCGTGAAACAAACTGCAAGAGTTTCACGGGTTCCCATGATCAGCGTACCAGGAATGGTGTTCACGAAGGACTCAGGATTTGGAGAGTCAGCAAGTATGTTGATTTGCGGTGTTGAAGTCCCAAGCATGGCTCTCTGGCACGGTTCAAGATCGTCAAGACGCAACCGTCAAGTTGATCCGAAGCATTGGAATCCCGAGAACAATGCTTTGCCATGCTTCAGTGAACCGTTGCAGGGGCCTATGCAGAGGGAACTTGGAAGGAAGGCTTGTACCAACATCGTTGGTGACTCTTGGGCTTACACTGGCCCTTCTACTCTCCTCCTCCTCCTCCTCCTGTCCCCCCCTCTCTTCAGCCTCCTCCGCTTCCTCCCCCTCTTCTCCCGAAACTCCTGCTGCTCCTCCTCCTCCTCCTCCTCCTCCTCCTGCTCCTGCTCCTCCGACACCACCTCCACCTCCCACTCCCTCCTCCTCCCCCTCCCACACCCCTGCCCCTCCCCCTCCTCCTCCTCCTCCCCCTCCCCCTCCTCCTCCTCCTCTTCCTGCTGCTCCTCCTCCTCCTCCTCCTCCGTTTTCTCCTCCTCCTCCTCCTCCTCCTCCTCCTCTCCATCCCGGCACGCTCGGAGGTACCTTCCCTGCAGCAGCGCTGGCAACGCGATGCGGGCGAGGCACGAGTAGTCCCGCTCGGACTGAGCTGTGTGCCGACGAAGTGTGATGTGCGCCTGTCGCGAGCAGGCACGCTCAGAGATGGATCTATGCCGACGAAATTGGGACGTGCGCAAAAAGCGAACTGGTACGGCAGCCGGCTTCGCTTTCAACCGCTCCTGCTTCCAGGCACAGATCGACACCGTTGATCCTCCAAGCCTCGTTCTCTCTCTCTCTCTCTCTCTCTCTATCTTTCTCTCTCTCTCTCTCTTTCTCTCTCTCTCTCTCTCTCTTTTTTTTTCTCTCTCTCTCTCTCTCTCCATTTTTCTCCCTTTCTCTCTCTCCCTTTCTTTCTCTCTTTATCGTTCCCTCTCAATGTCTCACGCCCTTCCTCCCAATCTCTCTCTCATTGCCTCTCTCTATGTCTCTCTCTCATTGCCTCTCTCTCTCTTTCTCTCTCTCTCTCTCTCTCTCTCTCTTTCCCTCTCTCCACCAACGCACGTCCGTCTGTCCCTATCTCACTTCCTCATTCTATCGCTCTCCCATATATATATATATACACATACTAGAACCACGCGCGCGCTTAGGTTCTAGTCACACTTGCGCCCACTCTTAACATTGGCAATGCCGCCACGGCTACGACTTCTTTTTGCGCCATCACCGCGTTTACGATGACTTCCGATTCCATGTCCATTCTGGGCATGACCACCTTGTCCACGACGATTGCACTCTCCGCGACCATTGTAACGGTCATGCGTTCAATCTCCGCCTGTGCCACCACCAATACCACTACCATTGCCGTTGCCACTGCCGCGACCACCAGGACCACCATCATCACCACCACGGCCAGTGCCACCGCGTCTACCATCGTAATCATCAGTAGCACCACAATCGGCGCACGAACTGCAGTCATCTCCACCTGGACCCCATCCGGGGCTGTCCTGGGTGAGGAGAGAAAGGTCGGCACGCCCGCCCCGGGGTCGGGTTGCCACCATCCTTTTTTGGTGGGCCCGGGGTCGGTTCAGGGGCACCGGTGGCCGAGAACGGCTTCAGGAAGCGAAGAGTTGCCCGGAAGCTTCGGGAGCAGCAAAAGTATCCGAGGGCGTCCAGTCAGAGGGTTGTGTAGGGCCTCTTGGGGGCCTCTCGGGGGTCTATTGGAAGGTTCTTGGACGCCTGTAGAGGCCGCTTGGGGGCCCCCTGGGGGCCTCTCGGGGCCGAGGGCCCGCAGGCCTCTTGGGCCGTCTTGGGCGGCTCTTGGGCCGTCTTGGGGCTCCTTGGAGGCCTCCTGGGCCGTCTTGGGGCTCTCTTGGGCCGTCATGGGGCTCCCTTGGGGGCCTCTTGGGCCGTCTTGGAGCTCTCTTGGGGGCCTCGAGGGCCGTCTTGGAGCGTCGGAAAGCTGGAAAAGCGAGAAAGCAAAAAACAATGAAAAACCAATGAACATCAACGATTTTGGCTTCGTCGGGCCATCTCGGAACGCCTCTCAGAACCCTCTTGGAGCCGTTTGGAAGTCTATTGGGCCGTCTATTTGGGGCCTCTTGGGAGCTGCGCGGGGGCCTCTTGGAGGGTTCTTGGAGGAGTCTGGGGCTGCTTGGGGGCGTCCTGGGAGTCTCTTGGGCCGCCTGGGAGCCTTGGGGCCGAGGGTCCGAAAAGTCCATTCGGATCCCCCCGTCTTGGGGGCCTCTTGGGCCGTCTTGGGCGGCTCTTGGGCCGTCTTGGGGCTCGCTTGGGGGCCTCCTGGGCTGCCTTGGGGCTCTCTTGGGCCGTCATGGGGCTCCCTTGGGGTCCTCTTGGGCCGTCTTGGGGCTCTCTTGGGCGGCTCCAAGGGCGTCTTGGAGCGTCGGAAATCTGGAAAAGCGAGAAAGCAAAACAACATCATAAAATCCAATGAACATCAACGATGTTGGCCTTGTGAGGCCATCTCGGAACGCCTCTCGAAGCTCTCTGGAGGGGTTCGTGGAGGCCTCGGGGCTGCTTGGGGGCCTCCTGGGCGCCTCTTGGGGCTCCTGGGAGCTTCTTGGGGCTGACGGCCCTCTTGGGCCGTCTTGGGCGGCTCTTGGGCCGTCTTGGCGCCCGCGGGGGGGTCCCTGGGCTGTCTTGGGGCTCTCTTGGGCCGTCATGGGGCTCCCTCAGGGTCCTCTTGGGCTGTCTTGGGGCTCCCTTGGGGTCCTCCAGGGCCGTCTTGGAGCGTGGGGAAGCTGGAAAAGCGAGAAAGCAAACAACATCGTAAAAACCAATGAACATCAACGATTTTGGCCTCGTGAGGCCATCTCGGAACGCCTCTCGAAGCTCTCTGGAGGGGTTCTTGGAGGCCTCTGGGGCTGCTTGGGGGCCTCCTGGGCGCCTCTTGGGGCTCCTGGGAGCTTCTTGGGGCTGACGGCCCGAAAAGTCCATTCGGATCTCCCCGTCTTGGGGGCCTCTTGGGCCGTCTTGGGCGGCTCTTGGGCCGTCTTGGGGCCCGCGGGGGGGCCTCCTGCGCCTTCTAGAGGCTCTCTTGGGCCGTCATGGGGCTCCATTGGGGTCCTGTTGGGCTGTCTTGGGGCTCCCGTGGGAACCTCGAGGGCCGTCTTGGAGCGTCGGAAAGCCGGAAAAGCGAGAAAGCAAAAAACAATGAAAAACCAATTAAAATCAACGATTTTGGCCTCGTGAAGCCATCTCGGAACGCCTCTCGGAGCTCTGTTGGGGCCGGTTCAAAGTCTATAGGGCGGTCTGTTTGCCGTCTTGGGCCCATCTTTGGCAACGTTGGGGCCATCCAAACTTTCCTGGGGAGGCTTTTGGAGGCTGCCAAGGGACTTCTGGGAGCGTCCTGGGCCTCTCTGGGGCGGTCTGGCGCCTCCAGGGGCGTCCCGGGAGCGCCCCAAGAGCCCCGGAACCTCCATGCGCTGTCGAGGTCGCGGTCCTGGGCGCCCCGGTCTCGTGTACGGGGATAGACATATAGATGGATTGCTCTCTCTCTCTCTCTCTCTCTCCCTCTGTCTTTGCTGGCACACCTCTGTATATACAAGTCGTGGTGCAGACTTTTTTTTTTTTTTTTTTTTTTTTCTCTCTCTCTCTCTCTCTCTCTCTCCCTTTCACTCTCTCTCTCTCTTTCTATTAATGTCCTCGCTGTCTCACCACAACTATATGTACGACGTGACCTCACTTGGTATACAATTTCACACTATATATATACATGTATATGCGCACAGGTGTGTACATATACATATATATGTGTAGATTGTTATATCTCTCTTTCTCTCTCGCACTTTGTATTTCTATATGTCCTTCGTCTGCCTGACTATTCATATCTGTGCTTGTGTATATTTCCCTCCCACTCTCTCAGTATCTCTCTTTCTTTCTCTCTTTCTTTCTCTCTCTCTCTCTCTCTCTTTCTTTTCGCCTGGATCGTACTTATATGTGTGTGTCTTTATTCCCTAGCCCACCCCTGCGAGTCCCAAACCAATTGCTTCCAATGTATGCGCGACGCCAGGCAAAAAGGCGAAGGTGCATTGTCTGGCGATGGCTTGGTACGGCCAAGAACTAGCCAACATACATATGAAACCGAACAAAAAACACCAAGGAACGCCGCATCGCAATTACGACTTCGAGGCGTGAACTGGCTTCGACATCATCGCGCGGAAGAATCATACACGTCTCCGCACGTACGGCATCGTGGTAATCCCTACCGCAACGATCGAAGTGCACCCATGGTAAACCGAATCGCGCGAACTAGCCCCATAACGGCCGTCCCAAAGAAAATCTCCATTTCATAAGAAGAGGCACTGTCGTTCGGGTTTGCCGTCTTGTCGTACACCCTGTGCAACGCAGGCGCGCCGTCGGCAACAAGCCGCTGCAAGGCCGCGCGGCTGATGATGTAGCCGGCGCCGCCGCAAAAGCCTCCGAACCTGGGCGCTTTCTCAGGCCGACGGGAAACTAACTATGCACATGCGCGCCGGAACGACATGTCTGTGTCGGCGGCATTCGGAAAGGCAAGGGGACCGTGAACTCGAGGATTCCCTTCCCCCTGCTCTAATTATCCTACTCTCCCATTCCTCGTCTTACTACCTCTTTGCTGCAAGAGAACTGGGCACCCCAGAGTCACAAGTGGATGTGTGGCCACTGGCCTTGCGCGTACGAGGATCATATTGACTCAGCTGCGTCTCTTCCGCCCGAGTTGTGGAGGGTCAACGGGGAACGCATGCGATGAAATACACTCGTATCGAATTTGTCGCATCGGTGTCCTCGCCGAGGACTGGGTTGCAGCTGGCAAATCTTGGCGCCCGCTGATGCTGGCGAGGACAGATCGGTGGTCATCCCAGGCTTGGACTATGCTGGCGATGCAAGGAGAGTTCAGATGGACGAGGCACGACTCCGATGCAATGCCTCGCCAATTTTCTGCAGCCACCGCGAGAATACACGATGCAATACGCTCGAAATCACTTGTGGCGTTCACACACCTCCAACCCCAACGCCTGCACACAACTACATGTATTAGGTACAAGAAGAACACTTATGTTGCCACACCCTGCGCAGCGGCCAACATGCCGACCACATTTGTAAACGACCAATGACGGAAACGAGCGCGAATCTACCCTGTTCTGCCTTGTCAAACTGCAAAGCTTCCCACCATCTGCTCCACAAAGATCGCGCAACGCATAGCCTGCAACGATTATTACGAATTGCATTGGTTTCCCTCGCTCAACAGCTTCCGATTATTAATTCTCCTTCAAACTGTCGGTACGCTCTTAGACCCCAAACTGCTGCGCAGAACGAGAGAATAGGGGATATCGGCAAACAATGAAACAAACAACGCATGCATGGGGCCAACGGTGGTAACATTGCTTCACCATCGCGGGTCAGCGTCTACAATCCGTCATGTCTTGCATTCCCTGAGCACGTGCTGAAGAACTCGTTGTCGTGGCAGAACAATCCCCTGCCGCACCCGACCCTGCCGTACGCAACTGCCGTGGCCGGGTCCTCTGGGCGAGCCGTGGCAACACATACAAATAAGGAACATGCGCCAAAACTAATGCACAACAATGATGCTGCATCTTCCTGGGACCTTGTCTGCCCCGCCCCGTCGCGAAACTTTCCGTGTAACATTCTGCACAAATCCGCGCCGAACATGTGCTGGGCGGACGCCAGAAGAAGGCTGCCATTTACAAGAAAGACGAGGTCCCTCCGAAACCGTAACGTAACAACATCGTAAGTACACACTGTTGGTAGAAATCAACGCTGGAAATGAATCATTCCAACTCTGGCGCTCGGTCAATTCCAGCCCGCACTGTATTTTGCAAACCTCGCGCTAACGATCGCCCGTGACACCCGTCCATAGGATTCCAGCCGGTCGGAAGACAACTTGAAACATTTCGGCTGCCTCGTCCATCCATGCGATGTTTCCAAAATTTACCACCGAATGAAAACTTATGAGCCTGGTTGACATTCCGACTGGAAAATGATCAACCTTGGTCGATATTGTGCGTTCTGAAAAGCCGCCAAAACGAAATCGTCGCCTTGCTTCGACACCCAAGACTGTCGACCTCGGTCGTCGTAAATTTCGAGAGGACACCCCACATCGGAACAATGTGTCGACCTCGAACGGGATATCTTCGGCCTTCCGGTAAACATATTCCTGCGAAGAGCCTCGAAATGGAATCGTTGTTTCCAATTGGGTCAACACGTTCAAGTTTAATCACCACTCAACTTGAAAATCAAACACGCGGGCCCTGGCGCTGGGGCCACTGTGGCGCGTCCCGAAGCAGTGCGCGACACCCCTCTACCACACTTAACATCTGTAGATTATCGGCTGGCATATTTCGCTACACGCATGCACTCATATCCCACCAGCCCTCTGGGCGTAGGTGGTCTAGAACAGATCCTCTTCCACCCCTCCCTCTTCCCCCTTGGGGAGGGGTTTACCCCTCCCCCTACCCCCTCCCCTGGACCTGGACGGGGGGGGCCGCGGGTAGTTAGAGCGTCCCAGATGGCCCAAGACGGCTCCAAGAGCGCCTCAGAGAACCCAAGATGAGCTCCAAGATGGCTCAAGATAGCGCAAGATCGCTCACGATGGCTCCTAAGATGGTTCCAAGAAGCCCAAAGACGGCCCCAAGATAACTCCAAGTGGCCAAACAGCTCCCCAAGGAGGCCCCGAAGAGGCCAAAATCGTCCCAAAACCTAAGGAAAATCAATGATTTTTGCTTTCTCGCCTTTTCGCTTCCGATGGCCATCCGAGGCCTGGAGATGGCTCCAAGATGGCCCAAGAGGGCCCCAAGAGAGCCCCAAAAGAGCCCCAAGACGGCCCCAAGAGCGCCCAAGAGCACTCCAAGAGCGTTCCAAGAGGGGTCCAAGAGGCGATTTTAGGGGCTTCCGAGGGGGGGCGCTAATTCACCCCCCCCTCTTGTTTGATCGACTCCCTCCAAGATGGCCCCAAGAAGCGCCCAGGAAGCCCCAAGAGGTCCCAAGATGGCCCCAAAATGGCCCCAAGAGGCCCCCAAGAGGCCCCCCGGAGGCCCCCAAGAGACCCCCAAGAGGCCCCAAGAGCCCCCCCAGATGCACCCAAGATGCTCCAAGAGGCCTCGGCGAGAATGCCTAATCATTGATTCTACACAGGTTTTAGCCACATGGAGGCCTCTTGGGGGGGGGCACGGATTAAGATGACTCCAAGAGCGTCTGGGAGAGCCCAAAATGACCTCCAAGATGGCTCAAGATATCCCAAGATGTCTCATAATGGCTTCCTCTGTGTGCTGCCCACTTCTCTGATCGAGGCAATTCCTCTGGGCATCGTTTCTGGATGGGCTGGTGGGGATTCGCGAAGCGACAACAATTCTATGTTCGGTAGTGTGCTATATAATGTACGCATCGGTGATTCATGTATATGAGGACGTATCGATACTTTCCGCAATATAGCGTTTCATTCACAACACATTTAGACTATATCAATGTATACTGTATATATACATATAACGATGTATTTCTATAACAGATATGTCTGGTATAGAGGATTTTATATGCTTACGTCCAACAGGGGCACATCTCAGTGTGGGGCGAGCCGCTTCGGGACACATTCATATGTCGAAGGTCCAAAAGGACCTGGACCGAACGCACCTACAAGACCACCACCTCTTTAAAGCTCTGGATGCTCATAATATATACACAACGGTATTCGCTGATTGGAAGACCGATGTGCACCCTGACAACAATGGACTTAGGCCTCGCACAATCAAACGTTTTAGCTTCGCACATTTTCGCAGCTGTGCAATGGTGGCAAAGAACAGGTGAGCAGGAAAGACGGGGGTTTCCAGATGCACGTTGCGAACTGAGAAGAAACACCACACTCGATATCTCCCCCTAGACCGGCACTCCCTCTTATACAAACGCACGTCCGCCGCAACCAACACGTCTCACGGCACACTTCCAAAGAGCTCCGTTCGGAATGGTTTCCTGATCTACCTTTGTAAGCTGTGCCCACGTTTCCTTGGGTTGTTCATGGCTTCTGGGGTTATCGTCTTCTCGAGCTCCCGACGCTCCAGCAAGGCCCAAGGGGCCCCGTAGACCGCCCCAAACCTGCCCAGGAGGCCCCTACGAGGGCCCCAAGACGGCCCAAAGAGGGGCCCACGACTGCCAATGATCGCCCCAAGAGGGGCCCAAGAGAGGCGAAGAAGCAGAACACGGACCGACAATTCTATCTTTCCGCACCAAGAAAACCACCAAGGCCCAAAGATCCCCCAAGCGGCCCAAAAGATGCCCCAAATAAGCGCCAAGGCAGCCCCCAAAAGGCCCGAAAAGGGCTCCAAGGCGGCCCCCAACATGCTTCAAAACTGCCTCCAAGAGGCTCCGTCAGGCCCCTAAACAACCCCCATAACGCCCACAAGACTCCCCACAGAGTGCCAAAGAAACTCACGACGCCACAACCGTGGACTCCACGCCTCTTCTGGGGGTCGGCGGGGTGGCGTAAGCCTCTTGAATATGTTCCTTATCGACCTTCGTAAACTGTGCCCAAGGGTGTGTACCTCCGTTGTGCAAATGGCCAGCGATGGTAGACACGGTTGTGCGACCATCATGCTGGTCTGTGTTTGCATTGCATGTGCCTTGGCGTTGCACGGCAACCCATTGTAATGTTTTGTTTTCGCGATGCGGTTGCATTGGCTGTGCATTGCGGTGCTCCGCTTTTGTAAAGGCTTGACGTTGACTTCCAGTACGTTTGCATTGCTCTTGACATGCGTTGTATCGAACTTGTCTTGCATTAACTGTCTTTCCGGTGCATTCAATGTTGTAATGCGTTGGGTTCCCTAACACTTGCCGTGTTTTTGAATGGCGTCCATTTCATTGGTGTTGCGCTGCGCTGCTCTGTGCTGCATTGCCTTCCATATCATTTCATAGCCTTGAACAGCATTGCAATATCTTTGCTCTTGTCTGCCAAATGTTTTCAGTCACGCAGAATTGCTAACCGCATATTACCTGTGCGCCTAACTCTACCATTCCCCCAGTCACCCTCTTCCGCATAACCCTGTGGACTTGAGCTGTTTCGAGTCATCATGCGTGGATGCTGGACGATCCAAGGACTCGAAGACGTCACCCTGCCGCCTAAAGCGGCGAAATAAAAGCTTGGCGCGATGCTGCCGAGTCGGCTGAACTCTGGCTCCTCTTGACCCCGCGCCCGAGATGTCCTTGTCCTCGAGGAACGCCTCGACGTGGTGGGTGTACACGAAGTTATCCTCGCCGACGACGACCAGCCACTCGGCTCCGCGCCTGCTCTTCTTTGCGGGCCCCGCGCCCGCCCTGCATCGCCCGGTGACGGCGACCCCCAGCGGCCACTGGCTGTGCTGAGGGCGGGGCCCGCTACCCGCGCGGACCCAGACGCGCTCCCAGACATCCGACGTCGTGCTTTTTCGTTGCAAAGCGTGGGCCCCTCCAGAGGTCTGGACCACTACTCCGGGGCAGGTTCTTCCTCCCGAGTGGCTTTTGGACGGTCTGGGCGCCCGGTCAAGGCGCCCCATCCCAGAAAATCGCAAATTACCCTGCGACGCATCCAACACGTCTGCAACGACTGATCCGAACAGCTGGCCAACATTATTTCGGATGATGGCGTGGCAAGGGGTGACAAGTGTTGTGAGAGCCACATGGGGGGCTCATGCGTTGTGGGACTCACAGAGGACCGATAGGAGGCGAGGGCGAGATGGACAGATGCATCATTGCCTCGAAAGTGTCAGCAATTTCGCACTTCACGACCCCCCCAAGAGTCCGCGTGGGGCGTCGCTGTGCTGGTCCCCCCTGGCAGCCCTCGAAAGTGGCGACAGTTTCGCACTTCGCAGCTCCCCAGGGATGGCAAGGTAGGCGGCAGGCAGAACGTGAGAGACAGGAGGCTGGAGAAGAGAGGATTAGGAAGAGAGGAGGAAAGAGGAGGAAGGAGGAGAGAGCAGGAGGGAGGCGGGAGGAGGAAGGCTGGAGACCGCGATGCTCTATTCAAATGAGGATCCCACCGGAGGGCTGGGGAAAAACACCCTCCGCTGTGATTCCTGCCGTCGCGCTAGGACGTCATGGCCGACCCAGCAAAACCCGCGCGGCCCCCCGAAAATTTGTGCTTACGTCGGGGGCGCGCAAGTATGGATGAACGATCCATGGACTTGGCGCGCGGCAGCCAAATCCAAGGATCGGGGGAAGTGCCCTCCCCAAAATGCGGCCGGTGCCGCCTCGCTCGGCGGCGGACATCCGCGATTCCCCTGGAAGCGGGACCCGTCGCTAATCCACGCCCCCTTGATCCCTGTTTGCGATCGCCTGACATCGTGCTCCTCCTCCTTCTCCTCCTCCTCCTCCTCCTCCGCTGCTGTCTGCTCCCCGACCTGGAGCCTTCCGAGTCGAAGGACCACCGCCGCCTGGCGCCTCCGGCGGCCCTCCAGGGGCCGCCGGGGGGCGCCGAGGGCTGCCCTGAAGCCGCCGAGGGCCAGGCTGCCGAGGGCCTCCGGGGACCGCCGAGGGCCGCCGAGGGCCTCCATGGGCGGGCCTGACCTGTTTTGAGGTAGGGCATGTCCTCCCACAGGCGGATTGTGGAAGAAAGATTGAAAATCATCCGGAAACGTGCAAACATAACCGAAACTATTCCCCAAGCAGTGCTTGCACTGAAGGGGTCGTAGGTGAAATTGACAGATTTGGCGAAAATTACCCGCCGATTTTGTTAGCAAGCGGGGTTCCCCGGTTCCCGGTGCCGGGTTCCCGGGTTCCAAATTATTGGTTCCGGGCCGATTTCGGTGGGTTCTGGGTTCCCGGGCTCCCAGGCTCCCGGTCGATCTCCTCAGCGCAAACCATCCACTGATTGGGGCTGTTCTCTGGTGCAGTTAAGAACAACCTTCAACATTCCTCCTGCAGAGGGACCTGTTTTTAGGTAGGGCATGTCCTCCCACAGGCGGGTTTTGGAAGGAAAATGGGAGATCATCCAGAAACGTGCACACATAGCCGAAACTATGAAGAACGACTTGAACACGCCTCCTGTGGAGGGGCCTGCCCGACGTAAGCCTGAATCGGATCGCGCGGCCGGGTCGGGACCGGGTCGCCTGGGATCGCGGAGGAGGCTCGGGCCCTGCAGGCCGGAGAGGAAATTTGGGCGCGTGCGGGGGGGGGGAGGAGGAGGAGGAGGAGGAGGAGGAGGAGGAGGAGGAGGAGGAGGAGGGGGAGGGGGAGGAGGAGGGAGGAGGAGGAGGAGGAGGAGGAGGAGGAGGAGGAGGAGGAGGAGGAGGAGGAGGAGGAGGAGGGAGGAGGGAGGAGGAGGAGGAGACGGAGGAGGAGGAGGAGGAGGCGGAGGCGGAGGAGGAGGAGGAGGAGGAGACCTTAGCCATTTTGGCTCAAGGCTAACCGTTGTGAAGGGCTATAGACGCCCAAGAATCAGTGATTAGCGTTGTGGCCTCTCCGTAGGCCTTTCTCGAACCAATTTCGGGCCTCAGGTGGCCCCTTTTTTGGGCCTCTCGCACTCTCCCTGTCCCCACCGATCCTGCTTTCCAGACAGATCATGGCGACATGGACTTGTTAGAGATGCTTCCGCGTGGTGAAGTCACATCACAATCGATGTCTCTGTGGCCAGTACAGGCACCAGGGTTGGCTTGCGGACTACAAGGGCAAATGCAAGGGCAAAGGCAAGTACTACCCGATTGCCAAGCGACAGCCCAGCAGGCCCAGAGACGATCGTTCGGACAGACAGAAGCGGCGAGGCAATCATAATACAGGTCAGCTCATGGACATGAACAGGTCGATAGTCCAGAAAGTCGTCTCGAAGATTCCGATTTCGTCCCCGACAGATGCTACCTCCCACCCAGATTGGGTTCAGCCTCCAGAGACAGACGAGCCACTCGAAGTTGGCAAATTTCGGAAAGAAACTTTTCAGAAGCTCAACCGTTATGCAATGGTGGCATACACGGCGGGCCAAGCAGGCACAGAGCACGCGGACATCAAGAGCAAGATCGAAATGCTCCAGTACGCCATCAGCCTGCTCAAGCCCCTGCACGTGCAACTTCAGCATACGACCAGACGCAAACTAACTATGGAAGACAAGCTGGCCGCCAACAGAAAGAAAGTGGACGATCTACTCGCGCAGCAGTACACCATCGAAGACGAGATCAATGCCATGACCGACCATATCGAGTTTATCCAGAGGGCGACGGTCGAAGAACGCGCAGCACGAGACGCAGCCAGAGACGTCAACATGGGAGCCCAACGACCCGACAGTGCCCATGCCAGCCCTTCCCTGGCTGCCACAACCGCGCCCGCGGAGACGGCACCATCATCAATTGGGGCGCTGGCAGCTACAAGGCCCTTTGGACAGCCAGCCTCGTCGCCATTATATTGCCAGTCTGTGCCGCCGCCTCTTCCAATGCCGACAGCAGCACCACCATCACCGATCGTTGCGCAGATGCACCAGAGCATGATCATGATGCAGGCGCAGCAGGAACATATGCAAGATACATTAAAGATATGGCGGTGATGATGGCGAAGTCGGCAAAGCAGGCGAACCCTTCTCAGAACATGGCGGCCTCGTTCTCTACTCCAACTCCTGGGACGGAGATACCCGAACCGAGCCAAGTTTTTCGCGATGCTGAACTGACGGAAGAAGAACCGTCACGACCAGACCCAAAGACGCCTCCCAGAGATCCTGTTGCGACAGCTGTGCCAGCGACGCCTGGACCAACACAATTTTGGGCAGCAGAGAAAACGCCATATCAAGGACTGATTTCACAGACGCAACCAATGAATACGCAGACGGAAGCTATCGTTGGACCAGACGCATCGGTAACATCTCCCCCGGAGAAATTCCAGAGACTCGAGGGCGCAGAGGAGATGGACGATTACTAACAGATAGCCCTACAACAACGGAGTCACGGTTGTGGATGTCGAGAACAGCTTCGAGGGTTACATTTGCTGCCCCTACGATCCGCCCGTATGACCCATCGTGCAGCCAGCGCTGCACCAGCCAATCTAGTGAGGCTACTGCCTGCCGCACTCCTGTGAAAGGAATTCTGAAGCGCTCCAATGCTGTGAAGGGTCATGCCACTGGGGATTTCTACCTCGGACGGTGCCAGGGGAGGGGGGGGGGTCACAGGGGAAGTGTGTCCTCAACTTAGAAAGTCTACTCGGGCCAGTTTCACATGCCTCAGACGATGCAGGGGGCATCGTCACAATACCAGTTTCACCAGATCAAAGACACTTCGGAACTTCAAGCCGCCAGATTTGTTTATGTATCCTGCTTTGTTCGAGGGCGGACCAACAGACAGCGGAATACAAGGCGTTTCGGATGAGTCGGGAATCTTGGGTCTGACGACACCTCCGCCTGAAGCTCTTTCGTGGGCTCAGATTAGGTGCCAAGTTTTGGAGCCCACGGGTATCCTCCTACAAGGTCTCAAGGACCACTTCGGGGACCTAGAGCTCTCGAGTTATTTTCTGAATGTCCAGCTGCATGGTGCAGCCAAATGTGCTCTCCAGGTTGCCCCCTTCACGAAGGAGCCCACTGGAGAACTCGCTATCTATATATAACTATATATATATATACTGACGGGCCAGGTTATGATGACCAGCGTGAAGGCGATGCGTGGGCGTTCGCAGTTTGCTCTAAGACTCACGACGGTGTCAGGTTCAATGGCTATAGGAAGGGCATGCTACAAGGAACGGTACCAGACGATGCCAAACCAACCACATGTAGCAACACAGCGTCAGATAGTGCTGCCTGCATTTGGTCCCTTGCGTGGCTGCTCCTCGCCTCGCATTCTCATGATTGGAGGCCCTCTGTCTACATTGGTACGGATTCCACGCTAACGCTCGGCATCGCGGAAGGCACGGCTGTAGCACATGAGCTCAGGGGGGCTTGCAGACATTTGGCTTGGATTGGCGGACAGAGTTCGAGCCCGCCTGCCTCTCTCGTTCTTTCGCATTCTTTCTCACAGGTCTCACCCTTGGAATGAGCTACGTGGCTCCCTGGTGCGGGCGCCGACGGCATATCTTCACCAAGTGCAAGATGAATTGTGATCGCTCTTTTCTGCCGCAAGGATGTGGAAGTGGCACTGGTGGTGGAACGCCAAGCCCTCGGTAAAGGCTGCCTACCCCCCATTCTCCCAAGGCTCGTTTCACGCGGATTGGAAGCCACCAATCTGCCAGCCCTCCCACAAGTGGCTAGGAACATGTCAAGCTGAGATTGAGAGTCGCATCCTACAAGGCCCTTACGACCAAAGACGATATACAAAAAGGTAAACAAGTTCATGCCACCAATCGCGGCCTCCATGTTAGGTAACAATTATCATCAGGAACATATGTTTTGGTCGGGATCCAGGAGGCCAGACTTGCAGAAGGCCGGGGGACTAAGAATGGATGTTTGATGTTTCACAGTCCGGCAGAGACTGGCAACCTAGGATGTCCCCTTTGGATCTCCCTCCAACATCCCTACTGATACATTGATGGCGCCCCATCTGTGCTTTCTTGAACGGCATTGCAAACCGCTGCAGGCCTCCGCGAGACTACTGGCATTGGCGGTTGATGCGCCACATCTTGCACTGGTGGTCTTGGTGGCACATGCGCCGCATGCCGCTGACTGTGAGGAAAGGAGGGGGTTTTGGGATGAGGTTGGAAGGATGCATGAGAGATGGGGAATCTATCTTTTGCTGTGTGATGCGAACGCGCACGTTGGCTCAGAGACCTCAGCTGCGATCGGCGCAGAAGGGCACTGCGAGCGGCCATATCTGTCAGGTCTGATGTTTCACAACTTGCTCCCACATTTCAACGATAAAGCAGTAAATACGTTCCTAACCTCAGGCGAAGTACAGTACACATACATTAGGAGTAGGCCCAAGCAGTCCACTAAACAAAGGGTGCTCCACGAGGCCATTTTTGGCACTGAGCATGACGAAGACACGTTCACACGTCGCCGCGAATATTTAATATGCATATCAGGAAACAACTATGGCCGATGGTACAGCACTCTTCCGCGATGAGTGACCTGGACAATTTGCATGGCGCCGGCGACCGCATGCCCGTCACGGCTGTGCTCGACTCGGTGACCATCCAGGGTGCAAGGACACCACTTTCTTTTTCTCTGCCTGCATGCATTGGTCACGAAGACCGACTCAGCTTCCGAGCGCGCATTGCGGCAATCTCTATGCCAAAGTGGGGTGCTGACGTGAACCAATACTACCATGACTTCTGCAACAGCACGATGAAAATAATGCAGGACTTCTTCCCCCGACAACCCGTCTCCTCAAAAACGCCATTCGTGACCCAGGAACTTCTCCAGGATGTTGTTTGTTTTCGGCGTCGGGTCCAGCGAGCCCTGAGGTCATTCAAAAATCGGCGGCCCCCCGCAATTTTTTCCCACTGCTGCAGGGCCTCAAGGCAAGAAGCATTCCTGAACTACAGCCGGCTGAAAAGCTGGACTGCCTCTCTTCTCCCTCTCTTATCTCCAGTGGATGATTACTTCGATGGCAGCGCCAGTCATGAGTCAGGTCATGCAGATGCATGTTGTGTTCCTTGCTCGCTCGCGCAAGGTACTGCAGAGCCTGCTTCGAGCCAGTCGCACGCAGTTCCTCTTGCAGCAGACGAGACATCTCAACGTTCACATTGCCAGTAAGGATGCTCGCGCTGAGTGGCAAACCCTAGGTGCACTTCGGAAGTTCGGGGGCTGGGAAGGAAACGAAAAATAAAAAAAACAAAAACGTCGCAATTCGTAGGAACCCCGACAGCGAATTCCTTAGGACTAAAGCCGATCTAGACAATGATGCCCTAACAAACTTTGCGAAGCTTGAGCATGCTGACGTTGATGGAAGAGAAGAACTCTGCTCCCTGCGCAACTCTGATCAAGCCCCCCGCAGCTTCACTGCCGCCCCCCCCCCCAGAGGAAGTCATCGCGGTGAGAGAACTTCGAGAGATAATCAGCAATAGCAAAACTAATAAAGCGACCAGCCCAGATCTGATCAGCAATGATTTCATGCGAGAAGCCTCTCGCGAATTCAGTCAGCTTCTGCACCCCCTCTCTCTGCGCGCGTGCCTTTCTGGCGATGGGCCCTCAGCTTTGAAGGGGGGGCAAGCGATCCCCGTCTATGAGACGGGGCCTGGATCAGTGATTGACACATATTACCTGCAGATCCTCCTGGGACCGCATGTCGTGAAACACCATCATGCCTTTCTGAGACCCATCCCATATCAAGTAACATGCATGCTTTTGGGTGAAGTGCAGCTTGGCGGATTAAAATAGAAGGACGCGGAGCGCGCGTTTTTGCTCACGCGCACTTTTGTCCTGTCCTGCAAGGCGCGCGGGCAGTCAACGCTCCTCCTTTTCAGCGATCTCAAGAACGCTTTCAATTCTATTGTCCGCCAATTTCTTCTGCCAGTCGGGTGCCCTAGTGATGTGGAACAGGTCATTGCAGACAGCGGGGCCCCCGCTTGCCTCATCGAGCCCACCAAGTAATTCCTCCAGAAGCCAGCTATCGTGAGCCAACTTCAGGACGCTCACGTGGCTCGCATGGCCAGAAGCAGCCTTCGTCGCACCTGGCTCCAGGTCGGCAGCGCCAGAGGCGCGGCTCTCGGCAAGACTGGGGCTCGCGTTGGAAAGCCTTTAGCTGACTATCTTTCCAACTTGAATTTCTGGCCAGCGCAGTGCGAGATAAATGACACACTGCAGCAAAAAAGGTGGGCTACTTCAGCTTCCAGAGTTGACGCCCAGTCAACGTGTTCTTACTTCCAGCGAAAATCAGGTACCGCGCGTGCACGGTCCCTCGCGCGTTGATTATCTCGTCGCACTTGCGGCTGCACCCCGTTGCGCTGCGTGGGCCCGGGCCCTTGGAGACACTTTTTTTTTTTCCCTCGAAGCTGTCGTTAAACGTGGCCCCGCCCCTAATTTTGAAAGAGGCAAGACAGACGCCGTGTTTCTCGCTTTCGGTAAAGGTAGTACGCAGGCCAACGCGCAGTTTTATCTCAACCCCTCTGCCCCTCATGCGCCCTCCAAGTGTGGTCTCAGCATGAGTGCGATTAAGCAATGCAGATGTAGGCTTCCAGTTCCCAACATATTTGGGTCTTGCCCCTGAAGTTCATGCCAGAACTCAACGAGCCTGCGTAGAGGGGCCGATCTTGACACAAACATCTGTCTGTTTTGTTTTTCAATCAGCGTGTTTCTTCTTTGGTTCTTGTGAGAAAAAAAACATAGTTCTCCCGGTTCTGGGCCTCAGGGGGCCCTCGCTGGGCCCTGGGACCGTGAAATAACCTCTCAGGACGAAAAGTCGGCCCTGGGGAAAGGGTCGGGACTTCCGGGGACCCCGTATTCAAAAAGTCAGGACGTCAGATGGAGCGTGCCTTCACGGAGGTTCTGGCAAGTGTACTTGCGTGCCCCCCACCACCTTTTGCTTCTAACTTAACTCAGTCCCAGCTTGCGGGAAATGCAAGCTTCCTTTCGGGCCTCGCGACCCGAATCTGGAACAAAAAACTGCCTCGATCCTCGGCCCTGGGAGGTCCCGACTGCCTCCCTGGGGCTACTTTTTTGTCCCCCAACTTTTGCTTAGTAGTCCTGGGGCCTGGCAGCCGCACCGCGAGGGTCGAACTCGATGCAAAAACCCAAGTGACAAGAATGAGATGGTCGGGCACGGGGTCCCCGGGAGTCTCGACCCCTCCCCCAGGGACCGCCTCTCCGTCCTGAGCCTATCCTTGGCGGTCCCGGGTCCTGCGAGGGCCCCCCCCCCAGAGGCTGAGCACAGCGAAGAGCCTCCGCCTCCCTTGTGGTTCGTGCTGTGGGATGGGACGAGAATGCTATCCTGCTAGGGGTGGCTCAGGATGCGTGTCGGGGTGCCCAAGGAGTATGCAGTGGCACTCGTGCCTGCAGCCCGCGTGCAACAGCTGGGGAGCTGGGGAGCTCTGGAAAGCCTGAGGCCATCTCACTTTATGGTGCTCCCTCGTACTTGAAGACCACATCGCAGAAAAAAACCGAGCACCCCCAAACATATCGAACCGGTGTCGAACGAGTATCGCCTCCCGGGGCCCGACGCGCGAAATCCCTTCCAATGTCAGTAATTTCTTGGTGCTCCAAACTCTTTCTGGTGAGCAAGGCCAGAGTAGGCTGGAACATCACAACTCTCGCTCCTCCGATGGAACGGCGAGGAGGGGGAGGGGGAGGGGGAGGGGGAGGGGAGGGGAGTGGGAGGAGGAGGAGGCGGAGGAGGAGGAGGAGGAGGAGGAGGAGGAGGCGGAGGAGGCGGAGGAGGAGAGGAGGAGGAGGAGGAGAGGAAGCGATCTCGGGCCGCCCGCGGGCCCCCGACGGGGTCGCCGGCCGTAGGCCGCCGCCGACGCGGGGCGCTGCTCGGGGCCGCACGCCGCGCCCTCGGCGAGCAGAGTGGCCTCCTCGCGGCGAGGGCGCGCGCGCGGCCGCGCGTGCCCCGCGCGGCCTGCCCTCCCCGCGCCCCGGGGCTTCAGTGAACGGAGAGCGGTTTACAAGAAACGGTTCCGCCGTCGGAGACGCCTGCCCCAGGACAGCTGGAAAATCTTATACCCGACGCGCCAGCGTGATTGGAGGCATGGGACTTTCCAGCCGCCCTGGGGAAGGCGTCCCTGACTCGGGAGCGGCCAAGAGGGGGGCGTCCAAGAGGGGGGGGGGGCGCAAATCATGGCCGTCGGCACGCTCGCGGCCAAGGGGGGGGGCTGGGGACGCATTGAAATAAAAAAGGCGCCATGAAATCTGGGGAGATACCATGGGCCCCGACATGACATCCCCCCCTGGTCGTCACCCCCCTCTGGGCAGCCGCCGACTGACGGATAAACAATTCAGTTTGCGACCTCCTTCGTCCGCGACAGCCGAGACAACGGCGGCCCTCCTTGGCAATCTTGTTTTCTTGGCCCGCCCGGCGCCTCCTCGTCGCCGCGGCTGGATCCGCCTCGGAAGACGGGTAAGGATGGAGCCTGGGATGGGTCCTGGGACCAATCTCGAGTTCTCGGCAGGCCCTCCCCCGAAAATGTCACTGGGCCCGTGCGACCTCGGGCTGCAGAAATGGCCCCCGCTTGAGGTGGCCATGATGCCGGGCGAAGTGCGGATGGGAGCTTCAGCTCGGGACGAGGACTCTGGAGCTGGCTTTGTGGCACAGGCGCGGCTCCCGGGCATTCTCTCTGCACCTGGTGCGGGAAGCGGCGAGGTGGTCGACCGCGCGCTCGTGTCGAATGGCCGGGTTGCCTGGGGGCCAGCTGCTGGACATCTGGGAAGCGGAGGGGCTGAACGGGTACGATGATGACGACTATGACGATGACGATGACGATGACGATGCTGCTGCTGCTGCTGCTGCTGCTGCTGCTAATGATGATGACGACGACGACGACGACGACGAAGCGGCTGTGAACTCCGCCGTCGCGCGCAAGGCAGCGCTACAAGGGCAGCTGTGTTCTCGCTTCGCGCTGCGCGTAGTGTAAGAGCGAAGAGATTCGCGCGCTCGAGCCGTCCCCCCCCAGGGGAGAAGGGCAGGACGAGGAGGATGAGGATGAGGAATCGCGAAGCCCGCATCGCCAAGGATGAGGATGAGGATGAGGAGGACGAGGAGGATGAGGACGACGAGGATGAGGATGAGGCCGAGGAGGACGCGGAGGACGACGATGAGGCCGTAACCCCGAGGGCCAGCACGAGGATGAGGATGAGGAAGCGTGAACCGCGAATACCTTCGCGCCCTCCTCGTGTGGGCCCCTGGTGTCGCGGCGGTGCTGGTGCGAGGTGGCGCGGCCAGCGCTGCAGGAGTATGACCTGTCGGCGTCCGATCCCGACGCGGACAAGGTCACACCAGAACTAGGAGCGACGCTCCGGAAGCTCCAGCTAGGGATCCAGCTGCAGTCGAGAGCGGGGCTGGCCATGGAAGCTGCTCCTGTATGCTCTGCCAGGTTGACCACCTAACAAACCACCCCCACCCAACTCAAAGCCGCCGTCGGGCCTGTCAAATTCTAGTGACTGGACACTCCAGAACACCGAGAAAACGGCATGGTGCGCGCAGACCGCCCAACCCGAAAACCTGGATGGCCTGGGGCCTTCCTGTTCGGGTGGTGTTGGTTATTGTCTGGCAGCGGCACAGGTGGGCAGCATGTCGCCCTGTTCACTCGGTGTTGGCCCCTGCAAGGTGTTGGACAGGATGGCATGCCGCGAGAGGGCCTGTGACCCCTGCGTATCGCGGGCGGCTTTGCTGGAGTCTCGGGTCCTTGCACGAGATGGACGTCATGTCGTCGCCGCAGTTCGACTTGAGCATGCTACCTCGTCGGCGCGCGCCTCCTCCTCCTCCTCCACCTCCTCCTCCTCCTCATCCTCCTCCTCCTCCTCCTCCTCCTCCTCCTCCTCCTCCTCCTCCTCCTCCTCCTCCTCCTCTTCCTCCTCCTCCCCCCCCTCCCCCTTCTCCTCCCCCTCTTGCTTCTCCGTGGGAAGGCTCGCGGCGGCGAGAGGGGGAGGACTTGCGCGCTGATATCTGTCTAGTGCGGCACCGTGCTCGCCTCTGCAGTGCATATGCAGCCTCTGCCCGTTGCAGAGCGAGGGGGGGGAGGGGGGACCGGGGAGGAAGAGGAGAAAGGGGGAGGTTAGGACAGCCCCTCGCCACGCCCCCCCCCTCGCCACGAGGAGGAGGAGGAGGAGGAGGAGGAGGAGGAGGAGGAGGAGGAGGAGGAGGAGGAGGAGGAGAGTCTCGCCCCGCGGCGCCTCTCAGAAGGACGTTTGAACCCAGGCGGGGATGAGAAGCCCAGAAGGGCCAGGGAGAGGAGACATGGGGAGGTGTACGAGGCGAACGGAGCAGCAGCACTGGCATGAGCAGAGGGATGACGAGAAGGTCGAGGAGGACGAGGGACACAATCACTAGTCTACGGCCAGCTGGCACGATGATGATCCTACGCGGCACGGCGATGCGAGGAAGAAGGTGAACATGTGGGGAGGAGGGATGGGGAAGATGGGGGCGAGAGGATGGAGGGTCAGGGAGACAAGGGGGAAACCGATGATGCCGAGCTGGACCCGTCTGAGACCTGCCGTCGCCGGTGCACGCGAGAGGTATCTGGGCCTCCCTGCCTCGCGGGCCAGCCAGGCGACTCCGACTGCCCAGTGCTCGGTGCCAGGACCACCCAGCCGACAGCAGATGTTCCTGCTGTATTTTCAGGGGGACGAACAATGACTCAAACGCGGATTCACAAATGTGAAGCGTAGTCAATCTCTCTGCACCCTCCCTCCGCACTTGCTTGCATCCGTCTCACTTCCCCCTCTGCTCCCCTTGTCTTCTCCGCAGCCTTTCGCCGGGGTGTGACCTCGTGTGCGCGACTAGGCCAATGAAGAAAAGAACGCGTAGGAGGAGGAATAGGAGCAGGAGCTAACATCAAAAACTCGGAGGTCCGCGCGGACTGCCGGGAGCGGCGCTGGACCCCCCTCCCTGGCGCCCGCCGGCGCCATGCAGAAGTCACGCCGGGCGGCGCTCCGCCGAGCCCAGCGCAGATCCCAGAAGTCCGCGTGGGCCTCCAGGTTTTTGTATTGGTGTCGTTTTGTGTTCTACCGTTATTCCCACCAGCCCTCTGGGCGTCGGTGGCTTAGAGCTTTTTTTCTTCCACCCCTCCTTCTTCCCCTTCGGGGAGGGGTTTACCCCTCCCCCCACCCCCTCCCCACTGACCTGGACAGGGGGGGCCGCGACGCGTTGGAGCGTCCAAGATGAGCCAAGACGACTCCAAGAGGGCCTCAGGGAGCCCAAGATCGCCTCGAAGATGGTTCAAGATAGCGCAAGATGCCTCAAGATGGTTCCGAAGATGCTCCAAGACGCTCCAAGACCGCCCCAAGACGGCTCTAAGTGTCCACTAGAGCTCCCCTCGGATGCCCCCAAGAAGCCAAAATGTTTCAAAACCCTAGGGAAAATCAATGTTTTTAGCATTCTCGCGATTTCGCTTCCGATGCCCACCCGAGGCGTCAAGATAGCTCCAAGATGGCTCAAGATAGCTCCAAGAAGGGCCCAAGAAAGCCCGAAGACGGCGCAAAGAGCGCCCAAGAGCGCTCCAAGAGGCCTCCAAGAGCGGTTCAGGAGGCGATTTTATAGGCTTTCCAGGAGCGACGCTAATTAGTGCTTCCGCTTTCTTTGACAGATCCCCTCCAATATGGGCTCTCCCAGCGCCTCTGAGGCCTCCAATAGCGCTTCAAGAACGCCCCAAGAGACGCCCAAGAGGCCCCCAGGAGGCCCCCAAGAGACTCCCAAGAGGCCCCAAGAGACCCCCCAGAGGCATCCAAGGGGCAAAGATGGCCCCAAGAGGCGCCCAGGAGGCCCCCAAAGGCCCCAAGATGGCCCCAAGAGGCCCCCAGGAGGCCGCACAGAGGATCCCGAACGGCCCACAGAGGCCCCCCCGAGGCACCCAAGACGCCGAAAAACCCCTCAGGACGACCCTCTACTCGCCTGGGCGTCGTTTCTGGACGGGCTTTTTTTTGTTGCAAAAAACGTTTTATTTTTTTTTGCAGCCGCAGGCGGAAGCGCCGGCGGCGAGCAGTCACGGCCGGGCCGCGGCCGTGACGAATTCCTGGGCGCGCGCGGGGGCCGCGGATCAGGCGGCGGGGCAAGCAGCAACCCAGGGCGTCTGAGAGGCCAGGCGGTCGTGCAAGCTGCAACCCAGGGAGTCTGAGGGGTCAGTCGCCCAGGAAGCAAGGCAGACGCGGCCAAAATGGCGCGCCGTACGTTCCCTGTCGTGGTCGTGACAAGCGACAACCGCGTGGTGGTGGGAACCAAACTCCGTGCGAGAAAGTCAGCCCAGGGAGTCTGGCGAGTATGAGCAGACCGAAAGCGTAGCTGACGTCGTCCAGCAAGGAGGGGGATTCTGACAGCGCCAGCGAACCGTCGCAGCTTCAGAAAACGCATCCGCGGCTGAGAGGGTGAGCCTGAGGTCGAAGCGACTGAGGCAACCACTAAACAACTGCTGAGAGATGCGCCTGCACGCAGGAGACCAGGGATCAAGTGTGCCGCAGTGCAGGGGTACACAAAAACCCACCAAATGAGGGACACACGGTCAGTCGGAAGTGGGCGTGCACCAAACGACTAAGTGACGACCAGCGCCTCGCGACCCACGCAACGCCAGGTCGAAGAAAGCGCTCGAAGGACAGAAACTGTCGTATACCCAAGACAGCAAGCCCTTCACGGTCACAGAGTCCCAGGGGGTGGTCGCGCAAAGAAATGCGCGTGGGAGCGACGAAAGGGAGACCGAAAGCCCGTCACACGCCGAGACCGTGCATCGCAGTCCACAGGGTAGTAACGCAAGGCAACAGTGGGAGGCGGCAATGAACGGGGTCACGTCATCGGCCCAGTCAGAGTACGGCGCAAGCGATCCAGGTGGGCATTCCGCCACCACGACGGGGCGACCCACGACGAAGGACTGCCTGCACCTCCGGGCCCCGCGTCGCTCCCAGGAGATGTAGAGATGCACGGCTGAAGGCCGTAGTAACTTGGGGGGCCCAGGGAGTAGAGGCGCAGATCTGGGGACGGGGCGAAAACCACCAGGTCGTCGACCACAGAGCTGCGTGCCAGGCAGAGCCTGGCATTGTGAACACAGCTACAGTGGGGCCAGGGGCCACTATGGCCACACGCAACACGAGATTGCAATGCGGACGGTATTGCTGGCACACACACTTGGATCCAAAGGCAGGAAGTGCACGTACCAGGAGGGGCGGCGGGATGCCGCAAGGTGGGTCTGCCATCCAAGGAGCGGCTGAAGGCCACTGTTTGATAGAGAAAACCCAGGGATTATAAGCGCGTCTCAGGAGTGGGCTCGGTCAGTCCCGAAGCAGCATAGCCGAGCACAGGACCACTCGGCCACAGGTGAGAGCCACTACAGCGGGGCCAGGGGCAAACTAGGGTCTGCGCGCTACGCCCCCCCGCGCAGCGAAGCAGATGGTATTGCTGGTCGACGCACTTGGGTCCAAAGGCAGGAAGCGTGTGAACCAGGGAAGGAGGCAGCGAGGCTGCCACACGGTTGAGAGAGAACGGGAGGCAGCGGAAGGCCGCTCGTAGTGTGTAATAAGGTTGACATCTCTGCCCGCCTAGGTGCTGGACGGATGGGGAGGGAGCTCAGTCTCCCCATCGCTGCCTCTTTTCGCCTCGCTCGTCAGGTCTGCCTCCGCCACACTTGCCTCCCGTCTGCCAACGGTCGTCGTGCCTGCCGTCACCCCGGTCGCTCTGCCAGGTGCCCCAGGTGTCCCAGGAGCTTGTCGCTCGGTCGCGCCAGCTGCTCTGCTGGTGGTTGCCTTTGCCCTTGCCATCGGGCCGGGTGCGACGCAGGTACTCGGCCCGCAGTTTGGCCCAATCAATGCGGTAGTCGAACCTCGTGTCCATCAAGTAGGCGTTGTATCCGCAGCCCTTCCAGTCGTCCAGAAACTTGTTGATGGTCGCGTCCGTGTGCAGCCTCGGGTCTGATTTGGGCTCCCTGGATCCGGGGAGCCGAATGCCCAGAACACCACCACGGATGATTCCGGTCAGCAGGCGCGCCGGACCGGAACGGAAACGGAAAACAGAACCCTGGAGCAGAAAACGAAAATCCGTTTTCCGTTTTCAGTTTTCCGGTTTCCGTTTTCCGGTTTCCGTTCCATGGTTTCCGTTTTCCACTTCCCGGTCTGGGCAGAAAGCGAAGTTGCGTTTTTCCGTTTTCCTTTTTCGGGTTTCCGTTTTCCGTTTTCTGGTTTCCGTTTTCTGTTTTCCGTTTTCCGGTTTCCGGTTTCCGTTTTCCGTTTTCCGGTTTGGGCAGAAAACCGGTTTCCGTTTTCCGTTTTCCGGTATCCGTTTTCCGTTTTCCGGTTTCCGGTTTTCCGTTTTCCGGTTTCCGTTTTCCGGTTTCTGATTTCCGTTTTCCGGTTTTGGCAGAAAACAAATTTCCGTTGTCCGTTTTCCGTTTTCCGGTTTCCGTTTTCTGGTTTCCGGTTTCCGCTTTCCAGTTTCCGTTTTCCGCTTTCCGTTTTCCGGTTCCCGGCTTGGGCAAAAAAGCGAAGTTCCGTTTTCCGTTTTCTGTTTTCCAGTTTCCGTTTTTCGCTTTCCGGTTTCCGGTTTCCGTTTTCCGTTTTCCGGTTTCCGTTTTCCGTTGTCTAGTTTGCGTTTTATTGCTTGCCGCCCGCGCCCAGCACAGGCCCCCCCCCCCCCCCTCTTGTCGTCAAAAGCTGGTACACCGAGGGGCCGTTCTTGTGGAGTTGGGCTTCAGTTTACTTTCGGCGCGCCTCGTCCAGACAAGCTCAACATTTGCCAGGGCACGTGTCAAGAGGTCGACAGT